ACATTACTTACTGTTTCTCCTTTATGCAAAGGACGGGAATGTCAGATTATACGGATTATTTTTACGGCCAATGTTTATATTAAAATGACTCTTATCAGTCGCAAATACATAAATAAAAGTAGAACTACGTCTTCTACTACTCACAGAAATTAACTCGGAACGGATGGAAGCCTTGAATGTGAGACCGAAAACCATGCACCTCATGGAAGAAAGCAGGAAGCTGGCTTCCCGACATCGGGGTCCACAATGACTTTTGGATCTAAGGACGAGCCACCGCAACACATGTCACCATGCGGGACAACATCAAACCAAGAGCTCTACACCAGCGGTTCTCAACCTGTGGGCCGCGGCCCCTTCGGCGGCCGAACGACCCTGTCACAGGGGTCGCCTAAGCCCATCCTGCATATCAGATATTTACATGACGATTCATAACAGTAGCAACATGACAGTTATGAAGTAGCCACGAAAATAATTTTATGGTTGGGTCACAACATGAGGAACTGTATTTAAAGGGCCAGAAGGTTGATGAACCACTGCCCTACACGGTCAAGGAAACAACCAACAAAATGAAGACAACCCATGGGACGGGAAAGAGTTTGCCACCTTATATCTAATAAGGGTTTAAAATGCAAAATGTATAAAAAACTCACACAACTCAACAGACAAAAAGAAACAATCCAGTTTAAAAATGGGCAAAGGACCGGACCCCCAGCAAACACGAGAAGGCGCCCCTCATCCCTCGTCCGGCAGCGCCCAACCGCAACGCGACGTCCCGCGGGCCTGTCGGAATGGCTGCCCCCAAAGCGACAGAGATCACAAGAGCTGGCCAGGGGGAGGGAAAGCGACTGTGAGGCGGTGCAGCTACCACGGGAAACAGTATGGAGGCTCCTCAAAAAAAAAAAAAAAGATTAGAAATAGAACTACCGCCTGATCCAGCGAGTCCACATCTGGGAGTGTATCCGAAGGACATGAAGACACGATGTCGAAGAGCTCTCTGCACCCCATGTTCATAGCAGCTTTATTTATTTGTAAATCTTTATTGTTGGAAATATTACAATTGTCCCCCCTCCCCCCGATTGGCCCCTTATTAGTAAGTTAATGTTTTTCAAACTCCTAGAATATTGAAAGTATACGAAAGCAAATTGCTTTTCTCTATGGACCTATTGTCTATTTAAATTTCCTAAGATTTTGTATCTTGACATAATCAAGAAAACTGTGCCCTGAAGACACTTACATCATAAATCTTTTATCTTTATTGTTGAGAGTCCCCTTCCACCCACCTCCCCCCGCCCCAGGCCTTCAGCACCTTATTGTCTGTGTCCATGGTCGTGCATGTCAGTTCTTAGGCTGATCAGTTCCCACCCACGCACCCTCCCCCGCCAATAGCAGCTTTACAACAGCCAAGACATGGAGAAAACCCAAGTGGCCATGAATGAATGGATGGATAAAAAGTTACACACACACACACACACACACACACACACACACACACTGGAATATTACGGTGCCATAAAAAAGGAAAACAGACCATTGAGACGGATGGACCTTGAGGACATTAAGTGAAGTCAGTCAGAGAAAGAGACATACCGGATCCTTCCACGTCTATGTGCAGACTAAAAAAAAGAAAAATCCAAACGCACAGAGAAAGAGATCAGACCTGTGCTCCCAGAGGCAGGGAGGAGGGAGGCGGGGCTGGACGAAGGCGGGTAAAGGCACAGCTCCCGGCTGTGGGCGAGGGCTGGGCTGTGATGAGGGACATGACTGTGGAGAGCATGTGTGTGAAACTGGAGTAAATCTCCAGAGCTCTCCTTTCCTTACAACATGAACCCCCCACAGACACAAAAATGTGGTAAAACACTAGCAAAGGAGCTCCGTGGGTTCTCGTACGTCCGCCCGCTATCGCACATTATGCAGACCCATCAGCAAGGCTGTGGGTGACCTTCACCTGCCGGATGACCTTGGGCCCAGCCCCTCACACGGCCACCTCCATCTTCTCCAACGCTGTCCATCTTTTAGTTCTGAATGACCAACCCCCAAGTTAAAAACAAAAAAAGGAATCAATTTCCTTCACAGAAGAAATGACTTTATTCCGTCTGAAGGGAGTACAGGAGGCAGCTCCTCATTCTCTGCCCGGCAGTCACTGTCCCGGCTCAGCCCGCCCCGCGGCCCTGGGGACAGTCAGCAGCCCTGGGACCCACACGCTCTGCAGCGAAGGCGCCCAAGTCCATTCTGTCCGGAGACCACTGGTTTTGAGGCGCACGCTTCATCACGAAGATCTTCAAGTGTCCGCACGGAGCCCTGTTTCCACGGGACTGAGAGGAACTGAAGCCACCTCTGCATCCCTCCACCGCACCCTCCCTCCCCGCCCCCCGCAGGCGTCCCGGCCTCAGGGCAGGTGCCATCCACGGGCCCGCAGCTCAGCACCCGTGCGAGCTCACCTCCCGGAGACAGAGCTGAGGCTGAGCCACCCGCCATCACCCCTCAGTGGGACCAAGATGGGCTCCCGCAAAGCAAGCTGTCCCCCACCCCCACCCCCCGCAGGGCCTCAGAGGGCGCCCCATGCCCCCTTGAGCCACACACTGGGCACCACTGTACAATGAACGGATGGAGAGGGCACCGCAGGCAGCCAGCATCGCCCTCTCTATGGCTTTCGCAGGAGGGGCTCCCCTGCGCCCTCGAGTAAGTGGGCATTTCAGCACACAGGCCCTGCTGTCTGTGTACGGGGGGTGCTGGTCACCCGGAGAAAACACTGGGACCCTGAGGATGGAGTCAGGGGAGCAGCGGAGGCCGCCTGTCCCTGCACCTGGCACCAGGGGTGCGCAGGGGCTGCTGCTGGGGACACGGGACCGGCCACTGCCTGGCCTTACGCGTCACGCGGGCACCTCCGGGACTGGCTCTCCTCTCTCCACGCCAGACGCTGGCCAGCAAGAGGGCCTGGCAGGAGCGGCCTGGGGAACCCGGTTCGAGAACACTGTGGGGATGCCCTGCGGGGGGCGCTGCCGCCCCTGCCCGGCCTCACACCTGCGGGGGACTCAGCGGTGACAGGATGCTCAGGGCGCCGCTTTCTCCGGTGACAGCATCGGGTTCGAGGGCTTTGACCTTAGGAGTGACGTTGCCCAAAAGGCGAACCAGCAGGCGGACAGCAGCAGGTGGCTCCCAGTGCCCCATCCACTCAGAAGATGGGCGCCTTTGCCAGGGAGACAGGAAGCACTTTCGCCAGAGCCTGTGCCCCCCACAGCGGGCAGCCAGGCTCCGCGGCCATTGCCAAGGCCATGCCTCTGCTTCCCAGCAGGGCCCATTGGGGGCCCACGCAGGGCTGCTGGGAGACACGCAGGGCCACCCACCCAATGCCTTCAAAACCAAGGGCACGTCCCTGCAATGTCCCTGCCCCCGCTTCCTGGGTGCAGGAGGCCCGGGGCCTTGGCTAGGAGGTGAGTGTTAGCCGAGAACTCGGGCGGCTTCCGA